TTCCTTTGGCGCTGCCCGGGTTGCTTTTGGACTGCTCAGGCAAGCAGCATTATTTATACACGCCAAAACTATTGCTGCGTTTTGGATTACTGCGTACTTTAGTGACGAAGACGATTGCTATGGTTTGGGTTTTTTCTTTTCGGTAGGTGTATGTAGGCTGATGTACGTGCTTGACAGATTGGATGATGGTGTGGCTCGCGAAACAGCCTGCTTGGTGTGCGTATCTGTACCTTGGCCCTATTTTTTCCCATGCTGAGGTGCTGATTATTGGCTGGGACAGCACAAGCTCGCGACATCGAGATATCCACGAGGTCATTCGGTCTCAACACGAGCGCGGTGTTGGTGCCCGGGGAGGACGACAGTCAGTTATCTGTGCTCAACAGCCGCAGGCTCGCGTTCGTTCCTGCGCCCTCGTTGACATTCTCGACATGGTACCACGGGCGGTACATGTTGGTCAAACGCAAGCAGGCGCCGACGGGGCGCCGACGTCGGATGGAGGAGACGTTGCAGATCAGGTAACTAACACTTTCCAAGCCTTCAGGCAAACTCTCATGCACATACAGCATCCTCACACAGCACCATTGGGTTCTCAATCAACTGTTGCTAGAGGCGAAGAAGGAATACAAAGCAGCTGAGGAGGGATTGGTCCTGGTGTATTCCGCGAACTCGAACAATAACTGGATCCAGGCTGCGTCGCGGCCGAAACGGGACATCGTTCGTGCTTCTATCTGTCTGCTCCCCAACAATTCTCTCATTTTGCTTGATAGAACTCTGTCATCTTGGATCCGGGGGTGTCCAGCCTGCTCGTGGATGACGCGCGGGATTTTCTGGGGAGCAAGGCCTGGTATGCTGCTCGCGGAATTCCGTTTCGACGAGGCTATCTCCTGGTGCGGTCAGTGTCTCTCTGCAACAAGTTCAGGCTTAATGAATCTGCAGTACGGCGCCCCTGGATCTGGCAAAACCTCAATCATCACAAGTATTGCGGGAGAACTGGGCCTGAATGTTTACATTGTGTCTCTCTCCCGCGCGGGACTCGACGACTCGAAGCTGACAGAATTGATCTCCGAGCTTCCTGGTGAGTCTCAATCGTGTCCATCTGCCTGTCCTGGATAAATTAGCACACTACCACTTCACAGAAAAATGCATCGCCCTCATGGAGGACATCGACGCCGCCTTCACACAGAGCCTCACCCGCGATGCCGACCCCTCCACAGATCACAAATCGGCCGAGGCTCCAGCCAGCAGACTTAGCCTCAGCGGGCTCCTGAATGCGCTGGACGGTGTAGCAGCACAGGAAGGCCGCCTGCTGTACGCCACGACGAATAAGTATGTTGCACTCGACCCCGCGCTGTGCCGCCCCGGGCGGATGGACATCCACGTAGAGTTCAAGTTCGCGAGTAAATACCAGGCGGAACGGTTGTTTTACAAGTTCTACATCCCCGCTGATGACGACTGCGAGAACGAGGATGGGGACGCGCATCCGGAGGCGGACGTTGCTCCCAAAGTCGAGTCCAGTGCGATTGAGAGTGTTCCCATCTCAGAGGAGCATAAATCGGAACCGCCGACATTTTTCGGCACGTCGCACGGGAAGCGGGGCCTCAAGTTGCACCGCGCACAGGTCAAGAAGCTTGCTGCACGCTTTGCGGAAGCGATTCCGGAACGGGAGGTTTCCATGGCTGCGCTGCAGGGGTTTCTCATGGGATACAAAAACCGACCGTATGAGGCCGTGGTGGCTGCGGGCAAGTGGGTGAAGAGCGAGCGAGTGGCGCGGCTCAGGCTGAAACAGGCTTGATGATGAGCAGAACATTGTGGGATGAATCGGACGGACGCTCGAGTTTGCTTTTACATCTCATCCTTCCTATGGTACGAACGATTAATTGGTCATGTTGATAGTGGTTAACGTTGTGGTCAGTTCGATTACAAGGAGAAGTTGAGTAGGCGGCTGGGAACCGTGATTCTTCAAACGGCTTGAGTAAGCGTCGGCGATGTTCAAAGTTGATGTTCAACCTCGCAGTTGGTACGCGGTTGGTACGCGGCGAAAGATATTCTCCCAGGCTACACTTCGGTTCTTGCGAGACGCCTCCGTCCAGGATTTCTGGTCCGACATCAAGCCAACAGTCGAAGAGGATTCAGGTATCAAGTGCCGATCGCCATAGATTGCCAATCGGAATCAGCCACAAGTATCGCCCGCAGCAATAAGAGGCTTGGTGTGGTACACATCCGGCTAAACGCGGCCTGGAGCACCATAGTGAATTAAAAACCGGCCGTTCTGCAGAAACTTTATAAACCGGGTTTATAAACACCTGTTTATAAACGTGTTTACAAACCAGCATTAAAAACAGAGCCCTAGCGTCCGAAGTCCATCCAGCGAACCCTTGGACCTCTGCAGGAAATCTGGATCGGATCTTTCGCATACAGCTGACACCATACACAGTACCTGATGTTTCTGTTGTTCTGTTCATTGGTAGTACCTATATTTGCACCAATATACTCTGTACTACAAACTCTTGCAGACGGAGGACTCCCCGCAATAGCCACAACACTGAGGACAGGCCAAAAACAAGTAGTATTTTATTCTCTCGTTCGACTCGATAAGATGTCACCAATATATATTCTTCATGTTGCACGGGAGTGATAGCGTGTGGGGTCTCGAAGGTGCCCGGCAGCGGCCGAAACCCGGTACATTGTAAGGACGAGAATGTACCGTGTTTTTGGCAAACCCGGTACATGTCTCACAGAATGTACCGGGTTTGAAGTGAATGTACCGTGTCTAATTGGAATGTACCGGGTTCTAAAATGTAAGTAAGGTCCGAGTTTTGTTAATCCCGGACTACAGCAGACTACCAATCACACGCGAACCCACCAATCAGTATCGCGGTCAAAAGTCCAAAATTGCAGTATCCCTCGTCTCTCTGCAATAGGCATTGCCCGACGGATTTTTTCAACCAAGTCGGGCGCCGTGTGCTCGGGTCGGTGGTAAACACCAAGATTAGACAAATGCTCGAACCTCGGAGGTTCCAGAATTGAGTCTAGGGCTGCCCAAGGAAAGTCCTCCATCTCCCAGTCAAACATCAACCTGATATCCAACACATCGTTCAGCCTTTCATTGGTCAGAACCGTAGTCCACAGGTCCTCGTCGTCACTGTTGAGCCCATATATTGTGAGTCCTCTGAGGCGAGTGGGAACCAATCAGGGGCACTGTACCCAGACCTGTCAGCCGTTTCTGGGAGGAGATGACAGGTACTACTCACGCTCGAAAGCCAGGATCGAGAGCATCTCTACATCTGCTTCAAGGAAGCGTACTGTAGAGAGAGGCTCATAGTAAGCAAGCACTGCCATCACTTGGTGCGGGAGCGTAGGGGGATGTAGACACTTCAGGATATAGTCAACCCCCTCGTACACCTCGAACCGCCACTCGCGAAGTTGGGGTAGCCGGATGATTGGCATTTCTGCTGACCCATCGGTGACCATGGTGGCTCCGATGATGGAAACACATTGAAGGGAGTGTGAGAATGCATTGAGCACTCTGTAGACGATCTCTGCATCAAGGATTTCAAAGTCGATGCACAGATCCGCCAATCGTGGAAACGTGATAGGGGAGAAGATCCCCATGATGGCCGTGTTGAATTCGTGTAACTTTTCGCCTTCCTCGTCGTAAGCCATGCCGTTGTCGAGTACCAGGGTCAAGCTGGTGACTTTGGTGAGAGGAGCATCAAAAACCGCCAAATGAGACAGTTCAGGATTTCCACAGACAAGCTCGAGGTTTCGGACACAGGTGCGAATTTCGGGTGCACGTGCGACAAGTTCGCTAAATATGTGAAGATTCTCCAGGTGTATTTCGATATCCCGGAATGTGTGATGCCTGTTCCGGGAAACCCATGCCCATGAGACCAAGGAAGACTCCGGCCCTGCGTCGTCTGACTCGCGGACGTTGTCAATAATAAGGTCAATGAGCTCTTGAGGAAAAAGCATGAGGAGTGGAGTGGGCCCTTTTGGCTACACAGAGCATCTTATATTACTTGCAATGTTCCGGTCAAGGTTGCCACTGCCTGTTATTTATCGTCTGGCAAGATTGTCATCACCTCATGCTCGTCTGAAACCATTGTCCTGCCTCATGCTCAGACCACAGGCAAGGTCACCGCTGCCTCGAGGCTGCCACCATCGGAAAGGCACCTCTGAAAGATTACGTCGCACTGAGGCTGGCGGCGTTACTTCCGCTAACCGGCCACGTTAGCATTCATCGCTCGCTCTTGACAGCCCTATTGTACCTATACAGGCCATGGTGCACCCGTATGAGGACTCACATAATGCGAGTAGTTTGGTACAATTTCCATGAATTTAGCGGATGTGTTGAGTGTTCAGTGAATTTCTTTCCGTCGGCATTGGGGCAAATGGGACCATATTAAACGCCGATGCGGGACGCCAAGAATGGATGGCGAGTCAGTGGCTTTTTGCTCGTACACGATCGTGCGTTGTTCTCGCCGGATGCACGAACTCTGCTCACGATTCCCATTAGTTGATGCTAGTGCCCGACTGTCCCACCCACGGAGGACAAATTTCTTCTCGGCATCGGCCACGGTGGGACCAGCATCGACGGCGACGCAAAGTCCTGGTCAACGTAATTCGCCCCTCGTCCCACTCCTGAGGACGGCATACGCTCAGACTAAGCATCAGTCTAACTTCGTGGCGACGTTGTCATGAGTAGGACTGTACTCGTACCCCGGTTCGTGGCGGATGTACGTGTCTTCCTCATCTTACCCGCTTGTCATCAACCTAAGCATCGTGATTTAGGGTTGTCATTTACCTCCTTCAGTCTGAGATTCACAGATCTTGAGCAAAAAAAAAAGCTTTGTTCGAACCGTTCTACAGTATGTCGACCGGTGCCTGGTAAGTTGATCTGCGGGCATTATGTTTGTGATCAAAATGTAGCCTTGAATTTTGAGGTCCTGGGATTGGCGCAGTCATGCCACATGTTTCTCGAGGAAGAGGCAAGCCAACGAGGCTCCGTGGCGGGTGGCCCGCGTCTGCTACACCTTTGATGGATGTCGTGTGAATTTCAAGCAGAAGCTGCTCGTTCGAATCGAGCCGGAGTCATGGATATCTATTCTTTTTGTGTCATGCCACGGGGTAGACATCGTTTTGAGATTGTTTTGAGATTCGGGAGACATGGGTACGTTCCGGTAGAAATCCATCGTGGCGCGAATTGATTCTTGAAATTTGCGAGGTATCCGGCACCCAGCGGCGGTACGAAGATGCGGTCTCACGAAAAACAGGTGGGGAAACAAGGCTCCGTGGCGGGTGGTCCGCATCTGTGACACTTGGTGGATCATGTCTTGTGGTTCGCTCGTTCAAATCGAGCCGGAGCCATAGGCGAGGAAAATTACGGTTTTGTCTTGCTTGCTCTGGTAGTCAATGTTGCTGGTATCTTGAGAAGCAGTTATGGTATTAACAACAGGGCTCCGTGGCGGGTGGCCCGCGTCTGTGACACGTGAAATTTTGTGTTGAAGGATAAGACTCAGGATATTAAGCAGAAGACGCTCGTTCGAATTGAACCGGAGCCATATATACAGTTGCACAAATTGCGCGAATTTCTTTGGGGGCGAGCGTCTGGCGGTCGTGTCTTCAGAGTCAAGAGTTCCGGGCCCATTGAATATTGCAGCAATTCCACACGTCGATGGACCTCAGGCGTTGAACCTCGAAGATTCAAAAGGTGCTGCCATATTGCAGGTTCAGGCTTGTTGGTGGCAATCCTGGCATTCGGAAGCTGCAACTTGACAGATTGTCGGAGGGTGCTTGTTCGATACGAGCGCGAGCCATGAGAAATCTCGCCCGGCATTATTTTCTTCTTGCCTTGTTTGTCGTCTTGGGAAGCGAGCACAACGAAGTCTTGGAGGTTTCTTTCAGGGTTTCCCAGGCCGTCGATTGTATTGGGACGACCGTTGCGCAGCAAGTACAAGGCGTACAAGGCCCCAGTATTTGGCAACGCGTAGTGGAGTCTTGTTGTGAGAATGCAGGGTTTTCACCGAGCGCGGGTGAGAAGCAGGGAGCAGCCTGCCACGTATGAAGCCATTCATTGAGTATCAGTTGAGAGGTTTCAAAAGAAAAAAAGAGTCCGAGTCGGCGATCGCCTAATGGCTCAGACCCGAGTCGCGAACGGGCGGGGTCACGGGTGCACACGATTCCGACCTCACAGAAGATGCAGAGTCGCAGCTGAGTCTTGAAACCGATTGTACGCTGCGCTGCGCATCCGATTACAATGGATTTGTACAAGATGCAGTGAGGTTGAAGCCAAGAATGAGCCAGAGAAAGGACAGTGAGAGAAATTACATAGTAAGATGGAAGTCCAGAACAAGCCGAAAACGCCAAATCAATTTCTGTTCCTCGCCGCCATGTCCTCCGAGTACCAAATCCACACCTGCCGCTCTACTCTGCAATGCGTGCCGACTCTTGCGACGCAGCTACGCTCTGCCTTCAAGCACACTTTAAGCCCGGGTCCGTGTCCCTCCCTCTTCTCTGCTTCGTAAAACTAAGGCCTCCCAGCTTCCCTCATCCTCGAATTCATCCCCGGCCGCCTCACGAACACGATCGACCGCCTCATCGCGCTCTACCGCCCGGACAGCGTCGTCGTTGGCACGCGCGGGAAGAAGGCGTGGCAGGGCATGAGCATGGGCATCGGCATGATGGGCAAGGGCGGGATTGGGAGCGTCAGCAAGTGGGTGTTTCTTTCGTCGCCGATGTTCTTTCTTTCTTGCTGGGTCCGCGTGCGCGGTGCGCTCCTGTGTCCTGCGATGGTGCCAGGGACTCTTCATGCCCACACCGGACGTCCTGCGCACCTGCGTTGTATCTCGCCTTTTCTTTCCTTTTCACTATCTTGACGGCCTGCATTCCGCATCGTAGTCTTCGTAAGAAGTTCGACGGCATGTACGAATGTATCCTGTGCGCATGCTGCTCGACCAGCTGCCCGAGCTACTGGTGGAACCAGGACGAGTATCTCGGCCCCGCGACGCTCATGCAGGCGTACCGATGGATCGCCGACTCCCGGGTCAGTGTGTCAACTTGGGTCCGGATCGAGTGTACTAAACATGGTCACGCAGGACTCGCACACGGCCGAACGCAAGGAGGTGCTGCAAAACGAAATGAGTCTGTACCGCTGCCACACCATCTTCAATTGTATGTCTCCGTACCTTGCGTTGGTACAACACGCTTATGTATACACAGGCTCCCGGACGTGCCCCAAGGTTCCTCACACATCATCTACTTATTCTTGACGCTAACACCCTGCCCAGAGACTGCCTCACGCAACCGTCCCCATCATCGTCGTGCGCCCCGAGCGCAAGGTTAAGAAGGCCACGGAGAAGCACCGCGCCGACCCGAAGCGCGGGACCCATTTCGATTCGGAGGGGCGTTGTATTCCTTTTCTTCATTTTGCGTACTTACGTCTTTCTGAATTCCCTGATACCTCGTCTTTCTGGAGTACCAGATGGACGATCTGCGGCAGCGCGACGTTCTCGGCCACGACGCCCCCCGCGGCGCTGCGTCCCCTGTCCCACGGTATAGCGGGCCTAGAGATTGGCAGACGGATGCGATTCTGAGGAAGGTTGAGGGGCTTATGCGGAGGCCGGCGACTGCGACGACGACGGCGGCGGCAGCGACAAGTCCTGCGATGGGAAGTGGATCGGCGCCGGCGCGACTGCGTGGGCGTTGCTCGTGCGCATGTGAGAGAGGCCGAGGCAGGGCGGAGGGAGCGCGGCTCCCCTGCGAGGTGGACGGTTTACATACCGTGGCGGGCGGGTGCAGATGCGCCGCGCCTCGTCATTTGGGACAGCTGGATCGAGCGCGCTGACGATGGGCGCGTCATTTCCCTCTTGCTCTCTCCATTACTCTCTTTCTTTCCATCTCCCTTACCTCCTCTGCCTCCCCGTCTTTCTCGCCCTCCCCGTCTTCTCGTTCTCGGAGGGATGCATGGGGAATTAATTGCTAATTAACCGCACGTAGGTACGGAGCGTCGCGGCGGTGACGACGGCGGTGGCGAAGGGGGATTTGAGTAAGCAGATTAAGGTGTGTCTCCGTTGTCTTGTTCATTCCTACTACTATTACCCCGCCCACGCCCTCCCTTGCCCACGCCCTCTTGATCCTTGCCCACGCCCTCTTGATCCTTTCCTTCCCCTCACCCTCCTCCCCCCATCTTCCTCCTTCCCCTTCCCCTCCTCCCCCTCGCTCATTCGCTCGATTCGCTCGCTAACCCATCGCGCCCCCAGGTCTCCGTGAACGGCGAGATCCTCGACCTCGAGAACACGGTGAACGGCATGGTGCTGCGACTGCGGACGCTCGCGGTGGAGGCGACGCGGGTTATGTACGTTGGAGGTGGGTTTGTGCTTCGTTTCTATTTGCGAGAGGGAGGAGATTGTGTTTGTGTTGTGCTTACCCACCCACCCACAGGTCGGCAACCGGGGCAAGCTCGGCGGCGGGGCGATGGTGCCGGACGTGGAGGGCGTGTGGTTTGAGCTCGTGACGAATGTGAGTTATCTCTCTGCCATATAACGTATTACATAACACGACGCCGCAGGTGAATCGGATGTGCTTGTCGCTGACGGACCAGTCGCGGAGTATCGCGACGGTGACGACGGCGGTTGTGCGCGGGGATTTGTTGCAGAAGGTGCGTCTTTCCCCTTCTCCAATCTCATAGCAAAGAAGGACGCTGACGCGGCGTCCAGGCGGAGGGCGAGATCGCCACGCTCAAGGATACGGTCAACAAGATGATGGATCAGGTACGCTTGGCGTTGTTCCGGGGAGATGGAGTTTAGTTGTGCTAACGGCGGTGCAGCGAATTTGCGTCGGAGGTGACGAGGGTAGCGGTGGAGGTTGGGACAGCGGTACGTAGCTTTCGATTGTGATAAAAGAGAACGAGACTGACGAGAAATAGAGTAAGCTTGGCGGGCAGGCGCGAGTGGAGGGGGTGCAAGGGACGTGGAAAAATTGAGGATGGGCCGCGAGTCGGTGCTGTCTTGTGTACGTACTTACAGAATGTACTTGATCAATAAATTTTGCACATGAGTCACGGATGAACTCAATGCGACTTGAGCCTCGAATGAATCCCGACATCCATCTGGACTTGAGACCGCTCATGCAAAACAGCTTGCGGCATTGTTCCAGAACGGACTACTCATTCCAGGGGCCCGATTGGGAAACTCGCCTTTGTTCTTGGCAGTTTCAGGGACACATTGGCTTTCTATAGCGTCATAATAACGCGAGATAAATCTCATGTACCATAACTTATAACTTGCACGGAGCTGGACTTATGCCATTGAACGAAACTCAGTGACAAAACCTGTCGGAGTCTCCGAGTCCCGTCAGTCACGAAGAAGCCCAGTCACTATTACATACCACTATTACATACCCAGTCCTAAATTGTTTGGCAATGTAACTACCCCCGTCACAATTGCTTGACCAGGACGAAAGTAAATCGGCCTGCCAAAAAAACGATTTCTGTCTCGCAAGTCCAAAATCTGAAAATTGAACAAGAATTTGGCGATAGTCTCCCCGTGCCGAAGGTACTTGGGTGGAAAAAAGAAGGAAGCGGTAAATGGGCTTACATGGGATGGAAACAAAGGGTCGGGGTGTTGGAGGGTAATGTGGAAGGGAAGAAAAGGGTGGGTGTTGAGGGATACTTATGGCGGTCGGAGTGCACTTTTATTTAAATCAGTATAAAATGTCCATTTTCATCGTAAAATGTCAAATTTGGACTCACAATGTTGAGAAAATAGAAACTTGTCTGTCTTGGGAGGAAGAAGCCTCAGTTCCAACTCAGTTCACTGAAAGAGTTAAAAATGTGTAGTTCAATTTTGGTTGTGTAAACTTTCTGTCCGGGGAAGTTTGTATAAAGTGTCTGAGAAGAAAACTTTGTATAAAGTTGGGCCATTTTTTTGATGTACAAAGTCAGCATGAACAATTGTACATCGTCGCTGTGAAGACTTCGTGTAAAGTGAGCCCGGCGGTATCACTTTAGGCAAGTGATGGCATCACCGGCCAGATGGAGAACACCTTTGGGGGTCATGAGCACCACCACAGGTGATGCTCAGAGGAGTGATCCTGCC